AAGTTGGCAAAGGCTAGCTTTGCTCCAATAGCCTTCCGGACAGTATTGAGTGAGTTGAGGGCTCTAAGCATATCTAGCATCTGAGTCTGTACTTGTACATCAATCGAACACCTGGGCACGAGCGGAAGTCTCAAAAGTTAACACAATGTGTACGCAGTGTTGCCCACAAACTGGAAGAGCGTATTGATGCGCGATCTCTGAGCGACGACAGGCATGAACATGACAGTCCGTGCAAACCGTGGTCTGGTTCAGTCTCCAGACATGTTGTAGACAACACGAGGGAGATGCAATGCAAACACCCGGGGATGCGGCTCAACGGCTGCAGCACCCACGCGCCACCACGTCCGATGGCCACGCGATGCCCATGGTCTGCAAGAGGCAACGGCGCGGGACTAGAGGTGACAGGATATTAAGCTTGAATTTTGGATTGGCAGACAGGCCTGTAGGCAGCGCTTGCGCTTCCGTCTTAGCGAAGGTTGCACAGCGGCAAATAGCGAGGAGCGAAGGTGTTTAGGGTGACGGGTCGCTGGAATCCCCCAGGGCGAGACGCTAGAGGTACTTTTGCGTGCCCGTGTGTGTGTGTGTGTGTGTGTGTGTGTGTGTGTGTGTGTGTATGGCACAGCAGTCAAGACACGGCCGGCTGGCTGGCTGGCTGGCTGGCGGCAATGGCCGCGCGGCACAGTCTCGCAAGCACCAGGCACCGGAGAACCCATCACCAGCACCGGCACCGGCACTAACACCACTTAGCAGGTAAGTACCGACAGGGCACATCAGTGGTGCGAGAGTAGATGGTAGAGGCCACGCTACTCCCGGGACCTTCTAGCAGCAGGATGCTCGGCATCGGCTGCGGGATCGTTCATGTCCAGGGCCTAACCTGCCGGACTGGACTAGGTGCTGGAGTAGTTCACATCTAGACGACCTGTACTCGACACCAGGCTAGGGAGGTAGCGTGGTGTCAAGGCAGGCTTCACGCAAATTCCTCCCGCTGTAGCTTATCTAGACCACTATACACTGGCTCGTGGATTGTTATACACAGGCCCCCGGTTGTTGCAAGCACCTTGTCTGTCTGTCTGTCTATCTGCTCCTTGGACGCATCAGAGGGAAGATCAAGTCCGCCCGTCACCGCCCACTCCAGCCGATCTTGCGATGGGACTTCCTGTGACTGATGACTGACGGACAGAGCACTGGTCCTCCATCCTCAGATTCAACCCGTGTCGGCGGCGTTGCCAGGGTTCTTCCAACTATCGAGGTGTCTGGCGGGACATCCCGCTTGATGGAACCGCACCCTCATCTGTCGCACAGCTACATTTGCCCCCCGTGGCTTCCGCGACCGCCTGCATTGCTTGCGTTGCTTGCGTTGCTTGCGTTGCTTGCATTGCTTTTTCGTCTTGCCGCATCTCACGATTGCCACATCTACACCAGATCGCCATGCCATGCCATTCGAGCTCCCGTCCAGCGGTCACGACATGACCAAGGCCGCCTCCTCTCTCCCTCTCTCTCCCTCTCTCTCTCTCTCTCGCGAGCCTCGAACGGGACATGGCTCAACTTGTGACACTCGAACACTTTCCATATTCGCCTTTCCAAGACGTCTTTCTGTCATCTGCCCAACGACAGTGTCTGCTACGCCATCCGTACCCTGCTTGACATGCGACAGTGAGCGGTGCATGAATTGCTGTCGTGCTAATCCGGTTCTCTCTCTTATTGGCCCATCTCGTCTCTAATCCTAGGTAAGCCCGGGATGTATCAGCCAAGCCAAGTCCGATTCATCACATCAGCCAACCGTTCCCCTTTCCACCTCTTTCGCTCGTGCTTCGTTCGTGCTTCGAGCCTGGCGCCGACACTTCCACAAATATCTCATCAGCACTCGTCTCCGTCCACATCTATTCGGTTTCCACGGTTCCACCATCATTCGCCCAGCAATGCATTCTCGCGTCCGGCTTCTTGGTCATGGACCACATTTCACCACCCACACTCAGATCTAACCCAACTATCCTCGACTTGACAGACAGATATCTCATTTGATCCCTTTCCATAGGGCAATCCAACACCGAAACCGAAATTCGTAATCGGTGCTCTGTCTGTCTCATAACGGCGCCACAGATCACGCTGCCATGATCACTCTCGAAACCACGCGATAGCACCATAGGCTTCAGGCCTGGCAACATTCGATCGTATGCAACACAGCACAAAAAACTGGCACAGTCCTGTCATCCCATCACCAACACCCCGAACACATGCATTCATCCAGCAGTTTCCCATCGTAACTCGGTGAATCTCGTCCTGCTCGAGCGCGATGAGCTGGTGTTGGGGACGGGCTCTCTATCGGACAATCGTAATCCGCTCTAAACGTATGCAGCTATGCGGTTCATGAATCTGCATCCTTGACAACTTTCACGTCAGTCACCGATTGCGAACCTGACCTAGAGGGTAGAAAGTCAGAAACATGTTAAATTGATATGCCAGCGCTGTTTGGCTGACAACATCACGCCCCTCGACAATGGCGCAATATCCCGTTTACGCGACCCTCGGGTCATAACCATCACACGAGAGCGTGTTATCAGACGCCTCGCAGCTGTATGCTAGTCCGTGCGGATTACATGTCGACTGGAAAGAACAGACGGTATTACTGTAAAACTTGGAGTGAAGTTTGAGATGAACACAACAGCCGTGCACTCACGGAAGCGTTGTAGCTATGACGGTCGTGCAGGCCTCGGAACTTGCAAGAACCAGTCCATCGAAAACTCAGGCGCGGAAATCTTGATCAGTAGACATTTGAGATGGGACCATACAGCCTCATTTCACCCGACAGCTGAACTTTGTTGGCATGAAGCCGGCACTGTGGCTACTGCCATAGGGTTTAAAAAGCAGCTCGAAGCCGCAAACAATCCAACGGAGCAAGCCAAGCCATCTGGGAACACGTCTCGTACTGCCACTCTAGTGCGCTGAATCTTGGTTGACGACGTTCAAGACAAGCATTCGGGACTACCTCAGCAGACATGCGAACGATGCGTTGTAGGGTTGGTCGGAAACAGCGCGTCTCTCTTATCAACAGATGCCACACTAGCGAATTACATGTTAAGTGCTGTATGTGCGATCCACCTTGTTGAATTGCTGGAAGTCCTACACGCTGCGTGATAGACACTTGTGACCTCACGTTGTGTATCCGCCTGGGGAGCTATAGTCCGACTACCGGACCAGGCATGACTCACCCGTCTGTAATATAGGGCTGTGGGTATGAGAGATGATTTACCTGTGTAATTTGGGCAACACATTAATGGTCCACAAGTTACAAGAGTCAATGCGCGTTTTTGACATTACTGGAGGCAGTTGGCGGCCGACCGGTGTTGGAAAGCTTGAATCCTCCAGTTGAAGTTCAATTTCATATCATGTAAACAGACACAAGTTACCTTACGTCGACTGTTCAAGGCATCCGCTGTCTGCAGTCGAGCGTCCGAGTGGTACAACTGCAGTTTTGGATGAAGTTTCTGGCGTATTCCAGGCCTCACGCTCAGCTCCACCTATTTTAGAATGACTGTCGAATGGCATCTGCTCACTGGACATATCAAGTCTTGTTCCTTTGCCTCATTGGCTTGTCTAATCTGCTGAATCTTCTATCTTCTATTCGACAGACATCCAGGATGACTGTTGTTGTTCCTAGCGGGAAACACTAGGGTTAGGGTTGGTACTGGTCGTGTCACAAAGTGATGATAATGTTCGGCTTCAAGCATGCCTCATCCTCTCAATCTTGATCTCACAATGGCCCATGCTTAAATAGACACAAGTCTACTGTAGACAACTCGCCACAAAGCTTTACGTGATTCGATATCCTGAACAACATTTTGCGTCGCAGTTACGAAACTTGATATCAATACATCTGCCTAAGCAATCTTTCCCCATAGTGCTATGTAGAGATAATAAGTCTGAGTTGACAGAGCCTGCAGCCAGTTGATAATCTTAGATTACTGTACCTGTTTGTAGAAAGCCGAGCGATCAGAGATCTCCCCGTTGTTCGTATCATATGCTCAGCCGGGTGTCCGGAGGAGCTCATGGGAGCATTACGCAACGATGGCCCAGAACATCATGGCGTATTGAAGGAGAAGACAGATCCGAGGTCGTAGCGGTCTTGTGAGATACACCCACATCAGAGTGCATGTGGTGCTTGGTGATTCGCCACTCCTCTCCTTCGTTGTCGTCCTGATCTTCTTCACTCCCTCCTGCTTGAGCACCAAGTCACCTTAGAACCCCTATAGATCCCTCCCGTGCGGCTACTACATATTCTCTTTGGGACGGAACCACCGCTGGTTTGTTGAGTGACGTTCGGCGGCTGCACAGATTTCGCACGGCTCATCGCATTAGGGGACCTAGAATCGCATATTCTGAGCGACCTTGCGTTCCGTTGGTACTCGCCCGTCCGTAAAGTGCACATATTTGCTGACCTCTGGGTCACTGCAGTGCACACGGCCGAATCGAACTCGATATCTTGGCACGTTCTTTGGTTTCGATACGTTTAGGGCGTGTTTGTTAATTATAGCAGAGAACGCGTGGAAATTTATTATCGACCTCAATAGGTAGGCAACTGTCTTGCTTGTCCGAGTGAGTCTACTCGTATGTTTGCTAGGTGTAGAGGTTGCTTGGCCATGGTTGAATAGCTGTCCTATGATCTCTATTGTACATGTATAGGTGCCGACACTCAAGCTTTCGATAATGAACATCCGCTGGATTAGCAGGCCAATGTTCCTTTGTGCAAATTTACGGAAGTAAGTTATACTCTCTTTTAGTTTGTTGTCTAATGTTAAGTATGTACTAAGAAACAATCAACCTGTCTTATAGGTCTTTATTACTGAAACTTGTGCTAACAGTCGCTTGAAAAAGGTTGCGTGTTAGCACACTTGAAAAAAAAGAAAAGAATACAGCTAATACAAACACGACGACCAGTCTCACTTCAGCAAATCTTATCAAAGAGCAAAAGGCAACAACGATGATGTCTGTAGTGCAAAAAGTGGACGCAGTGGGAATTGAACCCACGACCTTTCACAGATGCTAATGCGAAGCGAAAATCATACCCCTAGACCATGCGCCCAATTTAGCAGCGTCACATCCCGTGATTTCAGGTAGTGAATATGCTGACAACTGCAGATTGTGAACGCGTGTCGAATATAATTCTCATCAAAATTTCCACCTCTTATCTGAGAATAATCTACATCGTGGATTGCGCCCTAAATGGGCGATAAGAAGCAACGTTGCTTTCACTGAGGTAATAATGAGGTGTCTAAACTCATGCTGTGATAGAAAGGGATAGTGCGAATCATTATACTGTCTGCCCTTGTTCGTCGTATTCGTTGGAGATAGATTAGCGCACTTTGTGAAGCTTAACTTTCTGTACATCTCTTCGCTCGGGATACCGGACTGACTTTCGTAGCAGGATATCCATGTGTTGTTATGTACGATTCTTCTAGCGTTCTGTAGTATATAATCATTGCTATTGCTTGTTTCGAAATCAAAGTCTACCCGCTAGCGCCTATATATGAAGTGCAACGATATACTACTTTGTAACGGCTTGCGTAAGCACCGACACACATTCAATGGTGGATAGCATATAAACACCAGCAGGGTAATCGAGCTTGAGTGAGCCTGAATGTGGAGTGAACCCTTTATATCTCTCGATCAGCATGACACTGGATGCTAAAAGTCGCATGTACTCAGGTCGGGATTGTGGCTTTACAAACTTCAGATCAATGCAATTGTAGAAAGCTTGGAAAGAGTCATCTAAAAGTCTAGACGACTAAAAGGACAGCGGTTCTGTGTGTAAGTTCAAGGCTGCTGAGGGAATTATATGCGCGGACTTCTCTGGTGGCATGGTTGCGACCTCTTGACCTTGAAATGGAAGATACCCAGGTGGTACAAATACATTTGAAGTGATGAGGTCAGGCTATAAGTGATGTAGACCAGGATAAGCTGCATTGCGGCAAAATGATCTCAGCAGTCGCAACCGTTTGTCGACTTGTTATTTGAAATAGTAGTCATTGGTAAATCTAGACTGTCCAATAGAGAGATGGTTACATCATCACTATACAGTATAATACAATTCATCTATCGAAAGTGTCTAGATGCCAAGGCCACAATCTCCCAATCTAACTCTATGCTTTCTACATCGAAGACATCTCTCAAATCATTTTCAAAATTCGATGCAGAAAGTCCATACTCGTGATACAATCGAGCAATCCAATCTATGTGCTGGCGTACGCGTGGATGTTGCTCGTGTGTTGCGATCGCACCGAGATGCGCTGGATCAGACATCTCCTTACTGAGGCAGCTGATGAACAACCGCAATGTGGCAATGTTTGGTCTGAGGCCATCATACATGACTATTTTCCCCTTCGAGTAATGGGGGACGCGCAGGATGTTCCGTGTCATCTCAGCCCTTTCCAAGGAAGTCTGACGTCGTTTTGACATGTTCAAACCACCCGCATCCCTCGCGGTTGACGGGGTGTTGGCACGGCGTTGTTGGGATCTGATGTTTCTTGGCCAGACAGCGTACAGTAAGGCTTGACCTGCCGACAATCCATATGTCCTCATGATAAATTGTAGAATCGAATTGAACGCACTGGGACTGATCTGGAATCTGGTATACCTCTCTCTGAGCCATCTGGGTTCGGGATCCATGCCGCCAATGAAGCTAGCCCACTCTTTGTGTGCAGCGAATAGGACGAGTAAGACGCTGTCGAATTGTGGTTTCAAGTCATTATCATCTGATCGCAAGATGTGGGCAAAGATTTGTCTTGCAGTTGTACCCTCTGGACGAGTCAGCGCGGCCAGGTTTCGCGAAGTCATCACATCTGCAAGTGCAACCAAGTTGCTGAGTCTCCATCTGAAGCCGGGTAGTTGCTGGTCACCAGTCCACTTCAAAACTCGGGCAGCACTGTCCCATTTGCCAGCCCGGAAATGGGCGTTCAAGACCTCGCTGAGTACATCGTGGGTTCTTGGGGATTGCATGACCTGCTGGAGTAGGTCTTTGTTATCGGTGTGTATAGCAAGTCTGGCGAGAGCTGGAGCAAGTGTAGGATCTGCGTATCGTTCTGGGCTAATGACAGGACCATCCACATCATTGCTGTACAAGAACCAGTTAGCAACATTGTAAGCCTCTGCATCTAAAAGTAAACCCATCAGCATGGCAAGGTTTGAAGACGGCAGCTCATGTTCGAGAGAAGGATGGGCGCGCACCTCATCGGGTGAGGATGAGTTAGGAGACATGAAGAAGCCACTGTGAGTCGTTCCGGTCTCGCTACTGCTGGCTTGGGATTCGAAGAAGCTCACGATGGAACGATACTTGTCGTGATCTGTGCGGTCTTGTAAGGCCTTGAACACTCTCAGTGCGCCGTCTAGATTGCCATCACGAGTTTGGACATCCATAGATCTGTGCATGATACCATGTGGCAACGAGCTACCGTACCACAAGTAAGGAGGCTTTGACTGAGTCGTAAGATTGCGCAATTCTTCTCCAGCCGAAGGGCATAACATAGGCAACATTTCTGCGATGCGTGGACTTTGCTCCAAGTCAATGCCACCTGAATCGGCTAGCCGCAATACCGTAGCGTCCCAAGACCGATTTGAGAGATTGTTCTTGGACTGCGACAAGAAGCTTCGAAGTTCCACGAGGTAGTTAAGGACAGCGACTGGCGATATACCACGCTCACCAACCCCAATGCGGACATTATTTACTAAAGCCTCAACATATGCGCTGACCACTTCACTTGATATAGTTCTTTCAAGGCCAAACGCTGCATTGGCATCCAAGTCCATGGTTGAGGCAGCATGTGTGTCAAAGACATATTTGAGGCTTGCTAGGTCCGGAATGTCGTCGCGTTCGCTGGAAGGTAAAGAGCGACTCAGCCGATCCCGCCAGCTCATAGGCTTCCACGCCTCTAAACCCCCCTGCTGCTCATTTCTGGTAATCGCTTTGAGAATAGACACGCCGTCGACAATCCACCCGCCATGAAGACACGACCACAGGATAAGTTCCAGCCAGACCTCGGGTTTAATACCCGAAACTCTCACGCGATATGACGCACTAGCTAGCTCAGGTCTGAACCAGTACTTGTCATGTGTTTTGGATTCCTCGATAACCTCCGCCTCTTGCGCTCTCCAAGCTGCGTCTGACAAGGAGGTCAAGATGCGGGAGGATAGCAGATGAAGCAGTGGTGGCTGTTGCAGCGATGACCTGTCTAGAGAGGGCTTGTATTCGTAGATACTCGGTGGCATGATCTCGTGGTGATGCAGTAGGGCGATGATCTCCAATATTTCGAGTTTCATTCCCCCATCAGCGCTGGTTTCTTGATTTGCACATGCCAAGGTCAGACGACCCAATGCCCTCCAGATACAACCCCAGACATCATGCCGGAACAGATCCTCCCGACTGAGATTCTCAGGCTTGTCGGATGTCAGGATATCGAGCGATGTCTTTTCAGCAATCATTTGTCCATCAAGATGCCACCCATGCACATCCCGATCAATTGCAATGCCATTCACTTGCGCGGTCAGCTGTCTTAGGCTTGACGTTGTGTTCCAAGCGGGAAACATCCTAGTAGTCCTGTCTTTGGTGGAAGGCATAGGCTCTGCGAAAGCCTCGGCAATGAGGCGTGTGACCCATACCACAGCTCGCCATCTCCCCTGTCCTACAGCGAGTTCATACAACAGATCTAGATTACCATTGTGATCCTGGTGATGGCTGGCGGCTACAACGATTTCGGCGACGTCTGTGGCATTCAATGTCAGGGCAGGCTGAGTCGTGAGGTTGTCATCATTTGCAGGCGTATCGGGTTTGCGGAGATGGGCTGGGAGGCAGGGTTCAAGGAGGTCGAGCCAAGAAATAGCATGGGCGGCATGTTTCCCGGTTGGAGGATTGACACGCTGGAAAACCTGGTATGGCCGCAAATGGCGTGGCAACGGTAAATCATGAGGTCTGCTGGCAGAGCGTTCAGCGCATGTGTTGGAGAGATGGGCAATGCGATGAGTGTAAGTGCTCCGGCGCCCAATCAGTCTCGGGAGTGAGGTAGACCATCTTCGCATTGAGACCAAGGCTGCATCTGAGCGGTGGCGATGTCTATGGCGATGACAACTTGGGTGATTGGAACGCAACAGTCAGGCTTGGAATGGTGACGGCTTCAATGAGTATCTTAAGACAGAAAAGTTAGGGAGCATCCGTGCATGAAATGGATGACGTTACGCAGGGACCAACGACTAATGCCTGTATTGAACGCGTCAAACGAGCGGCGCGTCTGCCTGAACCTGGGCACTCTACCTAGGCTGCCAGGCATCCGGCTGTGAATCTTCAAACAAGCACTTGCGGCCCAGATGCATTGAAATGACAATCCATCTCCCAATTTGATTTCTCACCATTTCCTCGCCAAATTCCCAGAATTGCTCTGCAAACTCACTCCATTTGACTTGTGAAGACCACTCGTCTCTAGTCGCCAGAAAACACGTTATCTTCGACTTGAACATGCCTACCTACCGTGTTGGTACGTTATCGCTTCACTGTCGGCCTTTAGCTTAAAACACAAGTCAGAACTGACAAATTTTCTACAGAGATAGCAACTACCGGCAGGGCAGGCTGTCAAGCTACAGATTGCAAGAAGGCTAGTATCAAGATCGCCAAAGGTGAGCTACGTCAAGGCTCCTGGGTTGAAATTCAAGAACATGGCAGCTGGAGGTGGCGTCACTGGTAAGTGGCTGCACAAACGGTTCGACCGCTGGCGTTTTCTATTTGCTGACTTTGTTGCAGGGGCTGTGTTACACCAACTGTTATCCACAACTGGTGGGAGGCTGCGGACGGCGAGCTAGATATGATTGATGGATACGACGATCTACCAGACGAAGTCCAGGAGAAAGTGCAGAGGGCGCTAGAGCAAGGTCATGTAGATGATGATGACTGGAAAGGTGTAGGTGTAGCACTCCTCAGGCTACTGGATCGACCCTACCGCTGACTTTCAACCAGGATCTTGAACTCAATCGATATAACCCAAACAAGAAGTCACAGGGGATGTTCCTAAAGAAATCCAAAAAGTCTGAGGTAAGCTAGCG